TATACACACATATAAGTAATAGAAACAACAAGCAACAAAGGGCAAAGAGAATAACAACAACAACAATAAAACAACAACAGTAAGAATAATAAAATAATAAAAATAATAAACGATAGCTGTTAAGAAGAAAAGAAAGAAGAGAAGAGGATCGTACAAGAGGAGTGTGAACGCTTATACATAATTCTAGAAACGCGCTACGGTTAAGAGTACTTCCACATTGCGATTAATTAATTTCAACTCAAGCGATTGCTGCGCCTGTTCTACATACACGATCAAGGTGAGTCACATTTATCCTTCTCCGCGTTTAATTTTTCTATCCGAAATTTTCCATCCAACCTATTAATCACCCATACCACACTTTTCTGCACAAAGAGGATCCTTGGCATAGCTTAAAACTTCCCCTCTCCGCGAGAAACGCGATAGAAACCGGCACATCGCCTAGAGAAGAAGGAAACACGCGTTCACAATCGATCGACACGCGTTGTGAAAATTATTCTCACGATTTTGCGTTCACCGAGCGTGCGAGCGAGAGAGAGCGAGAGCGAAAGAGAGAGAGAGCGAGAGAGAGATCCGATATCGGCGGCGGCGGATGCTTTCTCGAAAACGACTCGTCTCTCTTCGTTAACGCGTACTCGATATCCGGAAAGCGGTTACTTTTACCACGCGCTATCTAGCCGCGGGAATCTTCGTTCTCGCGCGATAATTAGCGGCTACGGGGGGACGAAAAAGCCGGAGCCTCGTCGAAGTGAAAGGTGGGCTCGATATAGGCCTTCCCGCGGCCCCCTATCTGCCGCGTCGATCTCCTCGCGCCTCCCCTCCCCGCCTCGTTTCGTCGAGTAAATTATCCCGAGGAATTCTTTTTATTTTTCCTTTCTTTCTTTTACGATCGTACGCTCGACATTCGCCCTCTTTACTCCGTGCCCGTTCACTTTCACTCGCGCGCGCGCGAAAAAAAAGTTATTTATTATTACTGGACGAATCCGTCCGTCCGTATGAAATTCACGTACGATTTCGACGACCGTGGCCGTTAGTAATATAAATTCCAGGACCGAGAGGGTTTCGTTGACAAAAATGGTGATCTAACCTATATAGAGTTGTTGCGCGAGATGGTTTTAACCTTGAGCTCGATCTGCGTTTAATCCATCCGTGAATTACACGTTTGAGCTTCTAACTCAAGCATATTGTTATGGTTCCATAAGCGATTGCCATGGGGATACGTAGTAGGATATTACATGGTATGATCCCCATGCATCAGGTATGAGAACGTGCGTTCTCTATCTTGTGACTTGTATTACTAATAAATAGAAGAAGAGGAAGAAGAAAGAAGAAAAATACTAACAGAACTTGGCACACAGTTGGAACGAGTTCACTCGTAAACGTGTTAAGAATTTTATAAAAGGGCGCATGATTCGTATATACGGATGATCGAGAAAATCGATCGAGCATTATAAAATTATTAAATCGTTTTAGAAAGATTTTTAACACGGGATAAAACTCGATTCAAATTTAGAAATTTAGTTGCCATCAACGAAAATCTAATCAATCCTCTTAAGATTAAAAAATTTCTCATCTCGCAGAGCTGACTATTTAGAGATTATCTAAAGCGTTAACCCCTTAAACAATTTCCTCCGAGCGATTGGCAATCGTGTCGGGTTTGTTGTTGCGTGCGAAATCCATGCGAGACCCATAGCGATTTAGGTATCGATGCACGGGCATGCGCGGGTACGCGATTCGCGCTGCGGTAGGTGATTCGTTGGTTTTTCATGGTGAGCAACTAACGGGTACCTTAGCGAGTCGTTTGGCTCACAGGTAGCAGGGAGTCATTGTCCGCCGTTTACGTGACGAATTTCCCGTGCCTGCTCGTCTTCGCGAGTATCGTTCTGCCGTTCACGGCCACGCTATTCGCATTTTAAGAGCTTTCTAAGAAGCCTTGGACAGTCTAGTCGCCTAGCCTCGATGTATTCGTATTTATATACTTACTCCTCCTTCCTGCCTTCTTTTTAAATTTCTTTCCAACCTCGTCTGTACGATTTTAATTTTTTTCCCATTGTGTATCGAGCTGCGTATCGCTCGATTCGATCTTTACGACCATTTTGAAATGGTCATTTTCACGGATGGCCGCGTCTTAATGTCTTACTTTTTTCTAAATTTCTTTAACCTTGGATTCCTTCCTCGCCTCGTATGCAACACGAGAAGAGAATTTTTCGTGGATTTCGTTCGGAAGTTGGAAGGGGAGAAAGAAATGACGAATCGTGTTGTAGTTACCGATTTATTATTGCGATTGTTAGCGGTGTTCACGTGAAATGTTTTGTTTTGGATAAAAAATTGGATACTGGTTGCTTATATCTTTGCGTTAATAGTTTTATGTCGTGGATAACGGTTATTCCTTTATGTCGTGTAAACGGTTTTGTCTGTTAGTTTTTGTTTGGTATAATTTTTCTCGTTCATTTTTCCTCGTGAATAATCATGAATCTCTCTTTCTATCTCTCTTTCTCTCTACCGCGATTCATACGAACTCGACTTCTATCGAGGTTACCGATGAACGATAATGTCGGAATTAATTATTTTAATTGATTCATCCGTGTATGGAACCGTATATGTATAGATAGAAATCAGAGATTAGATTACAAATGAGAAGTTTGTATTATTTATTCGTAATATTATTCGTATAAAATTAAAATTATATTATGAAATTCTTATTTCTTATTATGTCACAATTTCATGAATGACAATCGATGAACGTAACTGAACAAAATACACTCGGTATTTTAAATATTAATATATCGATGTTGAGATTAATCGTTAAATGTTTCCATATTTTTTTTTCTTTTTCCACGAAAAAAAAAATAAAAATTATAAATATAAAAATATAAATAAAAAAAAAATAGAAAAAGAAAAAAAATTAAGTATTAATACATTAATGTTCAGATTAATCGTTAAATGTTTCCATATATTTTTTTCTTCTTTCACGAAAAATTAAAAATCTGTTAATTAAACGCGTGTATATATGTACGTGATTCTATTAATAGAAACGTAGACGTAAACATCACGTGATGCATTATTTGAAACCATTCATTCGCCTCATTATTATATATACATCTTTCTTTTTTCTTTTCTAGTCGTTACCGTTTTAAATCTAGCCGAGTCGACTTATTAGTCGCGTGAGACATCCTGTATAATACATGTGCATGCATATTCCAATGTATCGTGACGGCAGTCAATGTGCTAATATTCATAGTTAGTGTTAATGAACCTTGTTAGGTATAAGTCAGCATTCCGCTTACCTTAGAAGTCGCAATCTCTTTTCTACATCGTGACTTAAACTTCATCACGATTTACTCACTACCTTCTTTTATAGTTTTCGTTCGCCAACATTGACATCGTCGATCATCGAATCTCGTGGAAAAGTGCTCATTCGCGGAATTGCTGAGAGAATTTATCGTACAAAAGAGAAAGAGAGGAGAGGGGTAGTAATTAATAATAAAATTTAGAAAGAAAAAGAGGAAGAGGAAAATCGAATAATATCGGTCGCTCTTGCTTGCGAAATAACTTTATTAATATTTATACAATTTGAAATTCATCCTAGATGTCGCGATCTTCGTTCACGCATTCCATTGATGAATTTCCTTTGTTGTTAAAAAAAAGATCTTCGACTTAACTCGATCGTTGAAATAACAATTGCAAAGATTAAATTACAGTAATTATTCGAACAATGAATAATATTTTTAAAAGAGAATAAAAAAAATTATTTATTATTATTATTGTATTATTATTAAATTATAATTATTATATTATTACGGATATTTGAACGGCAAACAATGAGTAAATGTTAAAAATAATTCCAAAGTGCATATTGATAAACACACAACGTTTGCATGTACGTGTATTTATCGAAGTTATTATTCGGAATGTCGTTCTGACTTCTTTCCGCGATTTTAAAGATCTAATTCAAGAAGCGACACGATCGAAGATCGCGACAAGAATCGACGGTAGACAAACAATAGAGAAGAAGAAGAAGAAGAAGAAAAAAATCGTTTGCTTTACAGTTATCGGGGGTTCGTTGAAATTCTCGACATCGTTCGCTCACACGTGCTTCGATTACCTCTTCCACGTCCCACGAAGCCCGTTCGTGATTTCGCGCCAACTCCTCGGTCAATTGTTCCCTGTACTGTATCGAGCCGAGTGATTATATTTGAATATGAAATATTTATCCGTGCCATTCTCCAAAGTATCTTTCGAATCCTCTCTCAATCCTTTTTTTTTTTTTTTTCAATAATTCGATTCGTTTGAAAAAAAGATTTAAAGAAATTTTTCCATCGAAGTTGAAATAAAAAATAATATTTCATGAGGAACGAAAAAGAAGAAGAAATGGTTCGCATATATATTATTATTAGATATTTTCTGAATATTGCCCAATAATTTGATTCGTTTGAAAAAAAGATTTAAAGAAATTTTTCCATCGAAGTTGAAATAAAAAATAATATTTCATGAGGAACGAAAAAGAAGAAGAAATGGTTCGCATATATATTATTATTAGATATTTTCTGAATATTGCCCAATAATTTGATTCGTTTGAAAAAAAGATTTAAAGAAATTTTTCCATCGATCGAAGTTGAAATAAAAAATAATATTTCATGAGGAACGAAAAAGAAGAAGAAATGGCTCGCATATATATTATTGTTAGACACTTTCTGAATATTGCCCAATAATTTGATTCGTTTGAAAAAAAGATTTAAACAAATTTTTCCATCGAAGTTGAAATAAAAAATAATATTTCATGAGGAACGAAAAAGAAGAAGAAATGGCTCGCAAATATATTATTGTTAGATACTTTCTGAATATTGTCCATCCAATAATTTGATTTGTTTGAAAAAAAGATTTAAAGAAATTTTTCCATCGAAGTTGAAATAAAAAATATTTCATGAGGAACGAAAAAGAAGAAGAAATGGCTCGCAAATATATTATTGTTAGATACTTTCTGAATATTGTCCATCCAATAATTCGAATGGTTTGAAAAAAAGATTTAAAAAAATTTTTCCATCGAAGTTGAAATAAAAAATAATATTTCATGAGGAACGAAAAAGAAGAAGAAATGGCTCGCATATATATTATTGTTAGACACTTTCTGAATATTGTCCATCCAATAATTCGAATGGTTTGAAAAAAAGATTTAAAGAAATTTTTCCATCGATCGAAGTTGAAATAAAAAATAATATTTCATGAGGAACGAAAAAGAAGAAGAAATGGCTCGCATTAGACACTTTCTGAATATTGTCC